CAGTCAGCTCTACCAGGTGAGCTATTTGTGCACCCCTGTGAGCATTCATCATTATTTTTAACATGTTATAGACTAACCAAGAATAACGTTGTGAGGACTGCCGTTATTGCTAAGCAGACTTTCGGTTCAATAGATGTGGTTGCTGCAGTGTTCAGATTAGAGATTCAACATGGCAGACAATGTGGGCAAAGTGGTTTAACTGTGTAATCTCTTTCCCCCTTTTGGTTTGAGCTTGGTCACAAAAGAAGGTGAAACACAACGTAAAAGTGACCTCCAGTAACTTGGTATGTTTGCATAGCCAAAGTAAGGCTTTAGTCTGGACAAATTGGGCAAATTTACAGCATGGATGACCTCAAGTCTTACTCTATTACTGTGCTACTCAAAAAACAATGGTGTATTTAACATTTTTGAAAATCTTGCCCACAACATATATCATATTTACAATTTACTGTTAACATAGCTGTAATGTTAAGTCCTGTCCTGTCTTTCTCAGTCATAGTCTAAAAATGAATGGGACATTAATAGTGCACTCTTATAACCAGCCCTGAAGATAATACAGACTGAACCCTTTAGCTATGCAACAAAGCGTTCAACTGAGATGCGATACCAAAGGAAAGGCAGGTGACAACTGGAAAAAAACAAGGGCTAGAGCAGAAGTCATGAATGAAAATTATGCAGAATAGTGCTTTGCGATATACCGGATAAACAGGTTTCAATTTCCTCTTATCTATTATTATTATTATTATTATTATTATTATTATTATATCATGTCAGTTTATAGGGTTTTTTTAATGTTGAAATTGTTGGCATATCTTATTTATTTTTAAGTTGTTTTTACTACATTGCAGTTTGAACAATAATAGTTTACTTTCTGCGCACAGACAACTGCTTTCAAATGTTTTTATATTTAGTTTGTACTCCTGACAGTAGAATAAGCCACTATAAACAGTCTGGCAAAAAATATAAATACTATGATACACCATGAAACTGCTAGAATCTTAAAAAATACCATGACACAAAATTTTGATCTAGTGGATAAGTGAAATTCAATACTATATGACAACTGCTTAGATTTACTTAATATGTCTATGTGACTGGGTATCACTGTATGCACTTACTACACAATTTGACCTAAAATTTGATGATTGAAAAGTTCTGATTTACACTGCACACATTTGAGAAGTTGCAAAACTGAAAAAGAGGAAGAGAAAGTCAGAGAAAACTATTCCCTTGATAAAACGATGTACGAGTATGATGGTGACAAACACCCCCACCCCACTGATGGTTAGGAATTAAGCAAGCTGAAAAACTCTGTGCTGCTGTTTAAAGTGGCATCCAACAAGACACCTTCAAACCTGTACATTAGCAAGTCTGTTACAACAAGGCTTAACAGGGCTTTCTATGGTTTACTTATTAGCAGTTTATCCAGGCAGCAATATAGTAGCTATAAAACTAATTGTGCAGAACAGAACGTGTGAATGCTGCTGAGCACAGCCTCCTAACCAATTGTCTGTACACACTGTCATTAGAGGTCTGTGTCTTGATTTAGTCAAACACCACTAATAAAATAAATTGTATTACTTCTGCTGGTGGTGGCTTAATGTAATGGTTTTTATGCTCATAAAGCAGAATCGCTTTTTACTATTACATGAAAGGTATGTAACAACTGGTAGTTGTTTGTATTTCTGTTTTCAAGGTAATGGCAGCACAGGGTCGTGTTAAATGGCTCAACATGTGATGTAGTCTGGAGTTAGTCTAGCTGCTACTGTCTCACAGAGACCAAGGCAGAGCAACAAAAATAGACTTAACTGGTAGAAGTAACACTTTCAACTGTTTGCTACGAGAAGCTTGATTTTGGCTACTGACTAAGCCTGAATTAAATCTGCTATTGTTGGATCTTAAAGTAAAGACACCATAAACTGACCAGGGAACGTACATGAAAATACAGAATGATAGAGAGTGATAAAGCTAGGATGGTAATGACACAGTTTACAGGTTCAATGGCATTAGCATTTCTCTGTTACAATCATGCAAGTGTTTCGTTTGGTTCTAAAAGAAAAAAAATATTGCCAGCATGAACACACAAGCTTTAATTTAACTTCAACTGTTTTGCCACCTGCACCAATTATTCATCTCTAAAGTTCTTCAGTGACATTTAGGCCATTTCTGGCACAAAAGATGGTCACTGTCCTAATAATGTTTTTCTGCTTAGCTTGCACATTAAACACAAGAAACTACACACTCAAGCCCCATTCAGACGGGCTTTATGTTTCTAGCCGAGGTTGGGTGGTTTTAAAGGAAAACATCAACAATTAAAAGAAATGAACGTTTAGTCTTAACAGGCATTAGATGAAAAGATTGATCATAATATAACATTTATGTATGTCTCCACACATATAATGGTCCAAGACATGTTTATCCTAGCTTAACACAAAGACTGGAAGCTACAACATGTGAATAAGACAACTTTCAAGCCTCTGAAAGGTGAACTTTTCTTTTTCTTTGTTGATAAAGGCTAGTTATTTTCCTTTGTGTTTGTGCTTAGCTTAGTCATAACACCTTGTAGTTTTAGCCACCATTTCCACCTGGCATTGAACTGGGATCTGTATTTGGATATAAATCCAGATAAGGAAAAACTAATGTTAACGCCATGTGCAAAGTATCCAAGTCCAACAAAAGCAGTAAATAGCAAGTCTCCCCTCACAAGCAGCAATTTAAAAATAAATGATGACCACCTATGGCATTTCTTCTCTTAAAAGTCCACTGTGTAACATTTAGAAGGATCTTTTGGCAGAAATGGAATATAACATTCATAGGTATGTTTCTATTAGTGTATAATCACCTGGAAATAGTCATTGGTCTGTTTTCGCTACCTTAGAGTGAGAATTTTTTATCTACACAGTGAGCAGGTCCTCTTCTAAAAGGAGGCCACCGTGTTTCTAATTTCTCCTACATGCTTGGAAGACTTACCTGTATTCAAATGGTTGCAACCTACAACGTCACTGCCAGATGCCAGTAAATCCTACACGCTGGTCCTTTAACCTGGGGCAAACCATTATTGTTGATAAGTCTGCCAAACTAATTTACATATTGAGATCCGGTCACAATACAGGCAGACAGAAACAATGCTTATTAATACCAGGTATAAATGCAAAGGCCCGTGGAGTGCATGTCAATATCCAGATATAGATTTTAATAAAGGTGTAAATGGGGCTTAGACTGCAAGTGTTTGTGTTTTTGTCCTCTGATCATTAGAAACTGCACTGTAGGTCACAATCATGTAAACTTTTTCTGTAATGAAAAACCTAAAAAAATCGAATTCATGTCAAACAACATTCTCATCACCTGTTATTGGCAATAAACGAATCCACTGTCTTCACATTACATTTAAAACATGCGGTCACTTTTCATACAGTACAACCGCCAAAATAAACATTACTCAAACATGACTAAGTAAAGGTTAAGGGAGAGCTCAATAGACGGGGTTTCTTAAACAACAATGGGGGTTTCCTACATGCTGAATATTGATAGTAAAAACAGATGTTGTAACAGTCCCCCATTAATATTACAGAATACAGGTCAAATTTAAAATAAAGAAAACAAAACTCCTGTATCAATATCCCAGATGAATGAGATGAAGAAGTTTATAAATGTTTTGTCTGTGCTGATGAGAAATCCTTTGGCCTAATCCTATATCAAACTGGAAATTCTGCAGCGGCTGAGCTTCTCCTCCTGTAAGCAATTTCCCTACTCATACTACAACAAAATTAAAAAGCCATGGTGTTTACAAATAACAGGAAGGACTTTGGTTACCCAATCTCAAACTGATACATACAATCCAGACTATAAAGACTTTATCTTATATAATGATATAACTCACACAAAGATCACAGCAAATTATGCCATTAATTAAGAGTTAGACAAACCCAAAAGGACCAACACACAGCATTACTGTGGATCCCTAGTTACCATTCAATAATCCTGGTCTGCTCTTAAAGCTACTGGTTTGGACTACACACACACACACACACACACACACGAGGATGCTGCTCTGAAAATGTTCATTACAAACTATCACTATGTTGTTGGGATCAAACGAGCATAATTTAGCCTACATTAATTATCTTAGGCCTCAACAGAAGTCAGGTTATTTTCATTCATGGAGACAACGCATTTCAGTGATCACATCTTCTCTGTCTGGCTGCGTTTAATCAATTGTTCACCAAACACTAAAATTAAACTACAACGTTAACCTGGCCTTCACTGTGTACAACCCAACGACTCTGTAAATGTGATGTGTGGCAGCCTGTCTTGTGTCACAGCGCCGAGCTCACCCTAAATCTGATATTTTTGGGACATGGCTGCGATGTCAGCTAGCCTAGCTCTACGGCAGAGCCTTTGTTATTGTGTGCAGCGGCTCGACGACGGACGCTAGCCTCCTCAGTCAGCTAACGCTAATGTGTTGACACAGCTAACGTCCACAGATCTGCTTGACACGACTGTGCAACGACGTGCTCGTTGTGTTAAATTGCAGTTTTCACAAAGCAAGTTCTGGCGAATGTGAGCGAAAAGAGCCATCTGTCGACTGGCTAACCCAAAATGAGCTTAGCGTCAGCCGTTAGCTCGGCAGCTAGCTGTTTAGCTCACAACAGCAGCCAGTGGGTTAGCGTTAGCAGGGTTAGCTCAGCTGGGGAAGCTGATTAGCCGCTGCAAGCTAACCAGCCAGCTCGAGTTAGCTGTTAGCAATATCAAGAGCTGCAGGGGGGGGGAGGAGGAGGAGAGAAAAATAAAATATTTTAATGAGTGACATTTTTTCCCCCCTCTCTACACGGTGATAAATACATCTGAGTGTGTATCCGCGAAGAGCCAGGTGTTCCCCGGGCACTGTCAGACATATAATCCACTGGTTTAGTGACCTATATCAGTGAGGGTTGGCAGTAGCAGCAGCTAACGTTAGGTAGCTACTACTAATCGGTAGCGCGATGCCTGTGCGCACTCACCAGGATGAGTAGCCTTGCTCCGCCATATCGCCGAAAACAGTGGGTTCCGCGACTGTGGCTCACACAGATTCAGGTCCCGGTGACAAGCCGCTGGGACCTCGGAGAGGTTTTCTGCTTATCCTTCACAATCCGACGTCCTAGCTGTTACTTTTAGGTGACAACATGATGATACATCCCGGCGGCAGCTAGTGATCACTAGCTGAATATCTTGCAATTGAAACGGGAATGATGTTGTTGGTTTTTTTTTTTTTTTTTTTTTTTTTTTTTTGCTATCGTTTAGGTGGACAAGACAAAGCACCCCGAGAAAAAAAAAAAACACACACACTGATGTTATTTTCGTCGATTTTCGCTAATGTCCTGCCGTCACCCCCCTTAGCCGAGAAGGCTCGGTCTCCAACGACGCTACACACACTGTAAATCCATATTCAGCATGATGTGTCCAGGGTAAATTCGGATATTCCTCCAGTCTGCACCCCTAGCTGTTATGGAAGACGTTCAGCTTTGTTTTCTATGACTAGAGTCACGGGAACGCGCAAAATCGCCCTGCTGTAGAGCTTTACAAGTAGGACGTGCACTGAACCGCTTTTGTGCACTGCTCGCAATGGTTTCCCTTCAGCTGGCAGCAGCCTATCACACACTCTCTCTCTCTCTCTCTCTCTCTCTCTCTCTCTCTCACTCACACACACACACACACACACACCTCGTCGATTGTAATGTGTAAGTTATGGTTGTGTGTTTGGTTAATGGTCGAATTATTTTACATAAGAGCGGAAACGTGATTTTAATTACTGGTTTAATTGAGGTCAGAAACAGTTTAAAACCTTTTTTTTTTTTTTTTTTTACGAATTACAAATTAATACTTTCAGCTGCTATAAATGACATGGGCTTTAGATCTTTTTTTAAATATTATTTAGCTCATAAAGACTCCTTTAGTGGTGAATAGGCCGAGGGGGCTTTGTCACATTAATGGTTTACAGAGTTATCTAGACATTTTTTAAATTAAAATATGTAACAGGTTATTTTCACGCTCCAGGGTCCGAAGGCCTCCGGTCAAAAGATAGAAATTAGGCTGCAATACAAAATTAAACAACTATATATGAAACATTATGGTGGACGCAATAAGCCAATCAATTAAAATCTAATTAAACATATGTTAGGCCTCACCATTGGCAGTATGGGCCTTATTGTGCCGCTCATCAGTGTAATTACAAACAAACTAGAATTACTAATGGTTGAATTGAAATACATGTAGGATTGATAACAATAATGATAATAATAAAAATAGTACGAGCATTTGCATCAAGCAGGATCCACAATCCTTCATCTATGGGAACCTGTGAGATGATCAAACTCTAAGATAAGTTAGTAACGTGCAGATACAGAGGGAGAGGAAGAGAGAGGAGCTCAGTGCATCATGGGAAATCCCCTCGCAGTCTAGGCCTAATATTATCAGCATAACTTAAGGATGGTTCAGGACTCCGCTGAGCCAGTCCTAACCATAAGCTCTATCAAAGAGGAACGAGTTCAGCCTGCTCTTAAATGCGGAGACGGTGTTTGCCCCCCGAACCAAAACTGGAAGCCGGTTCCACAGGAGAGGAGCACGGTAGATGAAGGCTGTTGCTCCTGTTCTACTTCTGGAGAGTAATTAGACTCACAAAAACTTAAAGGCCTCTTCAGGAAGGGACAGAGCAGGCGGTTCTTTCAGTGAGTGCAACAAGCTCCTGAAGATCAGCCTGTAGTAACCACAGGCTGATTACTGGGGATTACAAAAATAAGTAATTATAATCAGCCCAGATCACATTTGATAAAATGTGTTATTAGATTATAGTTAAATTGTCAAGGATTACTTTATTGTGTTTTTTTGATTTTGTCTTTAACCCATTAGGACCCACGGTGTCACACGTCCTTTAAATGTTCTGAAAATCAGAATCAGAATCAGAATTATGTTTATTGCCAAAAGAAATGTGTTCTGTTTGGTCTATTTAATCTGTTTTATGTCCCACATAATTTTCCTTGAAGGAGAAATGGGTCCGGGTTCTTATGGGTTAAAACATGGCAATTTTAAGATTATGGAACTTCTTTTCATGATCACCAGTGCTCTATTAACCCCTGAGACAAACATCTGGTCTGACATACAAGGTTTCTTAGAGAAGTCACATATGGTCACAATCTGCCCTTCTAGTCCTGAGTTATGGCGTTGAATAATGGCCTGAAAAGTGTTGTTGCAGACTATTATGATGTCACAATGAAGATGACTTTTGGCCGTTTGGATATAAAATGTGTTCACCTCTTCATCCTATTTGACATTTGTGTGAAATTACTTTTTTGTTTTATATTTTTGGGGGCTTTTGTTGCCTTTAATCGATAGTGACAGCTAAGAGATAGAGGGGAGTCAAACCTATGGCCACTGCAGCAAGGACTCAGCCTTGGTACATGGGACACCAGCTCCACCGGGTGAGCTTTCAGGAGGCCCCATCTGTGTGAAACTCTCTCATAATTAGTGTTTGACTTCTTGAGTTCTGGCCAAAAACATGTTTTGTGAGGTCACAGTGCCCTTAACCTTTGACCACCCAAATCTGTGTTGTACAGAAATGTACACAAGCATTGCAGTGTTACCATTAGTCAGAGTAGATGCTTCATTGTTAGTCAAGTGTTCATAATTTGTAGTGATTGCTTATAATAAGCAATAAGACACATTTTTCTATTGGACATAGATCCTGAGAGGTTCCTCTAATATACCTACAACAGGGGAATTTGCCCTTGGGGATTTTACGTTCACTCTCCATCCTGAACACTGCAATCAGCTAGCTGTGCTAGCTTAAATATTATTGCATCTACATATACCTTAAAAAGCTTCATCCAAAGGAAAGGTCCTTATTGTTGACTGGCTGTAATATACAACCCTCATTATAAGAGTGTTGGATGGAACAAACAACATGTAATTTTTATTAGCCATGCAAGAGGCGTGGCTCTAGGGATGGCGATATCAGTCAGTCAGTTTCAACCTGGGTTCATATTTCAACAACCAGTGGATGGATTTCCATGACACTGTGTACAGACTTTGGTGATACTCTGATGTTTCCTTGAGCGCGAGGTTGAGGTTGACATTGTGGGTTTATAGCCATATATTTTGTGCAGACATTCATGGTCTGTGTGAGTTTGGTGCTCAACTAACTTTTCATCTAGTGCAATCATCAGGTAGAAATTTTAATTTGAGCACTAATTGGGTGTTTCTCTCTAACTCTAACTGGTCTTTCTTGTTGTTGTCATTAACATTGGGCATTACGGCCTCATAGAGCCGTTAGGGAGTCTCTGTCTTGTTCTGTTCAAAGAGCCTCATCAGTATGCAGCACAACTGAAAGACCAAGGGGTCATTTAAATCAGGGTTTGTCTCCTTTGGGTAAAACCCAAGGTTCATAACAGTTCATGACAGACAGTACACTGATCAGATTATGAGATATATTGTGGGTAAAGTTAACATTTTGGCTTGAGGGGCACAAAAAGAAGGCTGAGGGAAACTTTTATCCTCTTGGTAGCATACATAGGCTCAGTGATTTCAATGTCAATCTTCCCATTAGACTTTGGTGTCGTCAAGTGATCCAAATTGAGCTCTTAGTTTTTATATTATGTTTATAAAATTTACAATTTGACCTGGTGGTGGGGTTAACAGAGGATTGTCTAAAATAGAAATGGTATATAATGCAGATCGTGGATGTTTCACAGCAATCTGAGTTCTTGTATTAAAGTGGAAATGTTAGTGATGAAGAACCAATTAAGTGATCGACAAACAATTACAATTTATTCTCTAGGGACTCTCATGGAATGAATTTGTTTTTGAAATAGCCTACATTGTCATGGTTGGTCAGGGGGAAATTTTGATGTAACAGCATTGAGCAAAATGTCATGGGTCATCGGCAATCTTCCACTTTGAATTTAATTTCTGGGTATTCTGGATAGTAGCTATTGAAATATCTTGCCTTAATGAATACACAAACTGATGCTCAGATGGACACGTCGACAGATGGCCCAAGTGAAGGAAGGATATATAGAGATTTAAGATTCAACGCATTTGGGAGAGCACAATGCACTCAGATTTAAACACGTGTACTGAAACTTGGGAATACCTTTACATAAATATGGAGTGATTTGTTGATGTGCCTTCAGATACCCAAATGCTGATTTGCATTTGGGAGCATCTAAAGTTATATGACTTTACTTTAATTACCATACACCACAAACCTGCATACACTTTTGCACACCAGGTTAAAGGTGCACAAGTCTCAGTACTCACCTTCAAATGTAGTGGCAGATTCACAAATCTTTGAACACATTTGCGAATGTCAGTTAAGACATTTTCAATACTGAAGTCCTGATTTCTATGTGTGGTGTAGACATGGCTATTCTGGTCCTTGTTCAGTGATATTAACCAAACAATGCATGTTTAGCTGTGAAACAATCCATGAGAATGCTATAAATCATGTGATAATTTTTCTCTAATTGAAAGTTGACCATCACATGAGAGACCTATTCCTGTAAAACATGCACGCAAGTCTCTTGTCTTGGCCAATATACAGGGATGCAGGCATAACATTGCAAAGCTTTTAATTTCCCATCTTGATTAAGTCTAAATTACAATGAAAAAGTGCAGGAAAACCTTTTTCTCCTTTCCACCATCTGCACTGTTAAATATGTGTATTGATCTGAGGAAGGTTTTACACCAATTCAAGTCCAAATGAATGAATAATCATGCTTGACAATAGGAAATGTTGCTATTAGGGCTTAGCTGATGCCAGGCGAGACAGTGTCTTTCCTGTAGATAAAGACGGCATTAGGGTTTAGAAAGGGGTCAGTGGGATTCCCTTCAGCCAAAGAGTGTGGGGATTACCAAATTCTGCAAAGAGCTGCTTTTCTTACAGATTATGTACAATCTGTTCTTAGCAAGAGAAGCACAGCCACAAGATACAGGAGCAGCACTGACCAAAAGCCTTATTCATTCAAGGTCAAATAAGGTTCTTCTTCAGCATCCATCAACCTGCACTCAGCTACCCTGCCCTCTTTTATTCAGTGTCCACAGGCAACCAGGATAGGTACAATGCTTCAGAATCTTACATCAATATTTATGTTATGTTAACACTAATTTTAAGAGTAACTATGGTATTTTTCAACCTGGACCTTAATTTTCTGTGTTTTTGTGTCATAGTCAGTGGATTCAGGCATACGGTATAAACCGGATGTCATGTTGGTGGATGAGAACAGGACAGTAGAATTTACCTGATTTCGACAATGTGGATGTGGCCTTTGAATTTAATGGCCGCTCGTATTTATTCGAGTAGAGTATATGGATAAGATTACAAATTGAAGAGCGGATGAGGAGAGAGAGGGTGAGCCAGCTGCTGCAAGGCTGTGAAGCTCGAGAGACTGGTGGTGTTCCTGTGGATGCTGTGACCCTATGTTGTGACCCTATGCCCACAGAGGAGATTTTACAGACTTGAAAATGTTAAATTTTTCTATAGGGTCCTCTCCATAATGTTGTCAGACACTTATAATAACAATCTGAGCTGGTCAATAGCAAAAATAAACACTTTTAATGGAGGTATTTAGACCAAATTCCAAACT